TTCACCTTCGTATCGCTTGTCCGTTTTTTCTCCGTTAAACTAGATTATTTGACCATAGCATTTCCAAGCCAAGACATTGAACTCAACTTCCAGAGAACCGGATATATTTTAAACAACGCTTCATTCCACTCGGCTATGAATCTTTTCGACAACTCAGAAGACTTATAAGTCCTACCCACTGTTTTTCTTTTTTTTGAAATTTTTACATAATTAAATGTAACTGCAACTTCTACTCCAATTCCCTTCTGTTTACTTGCTTCCTGAAAACTAGTTTTCAAAAATTTAAATGCAACGTCAGTCGCCATCTTCCCTGTCAAATACTAGAGAGCTCAGTGTGCCCTAGTATTTTACTCATAGTCGGGTGCTGGATAGAAGAGATAGATTCATGTCTCTCTCGATGGTATTTTCTTTTTACGTGTCGTGGTCCCTCAGGATGTGGACGATCGTGGCTTTCCACAACTTCCTATTTGTACCTCTCAGCAAACTCTACCTCCTTACTATCTCTCCGTCCCTCCTAGTCCATATTTTATCATCCATTACCACAAGCTTGATCGGTAAGTAAATAGCCGTTTCTCCCCGTCATTCTTGCTTTTAACATATCCTCTCAGTGTCGAATAATCCAAACCCTCTTTCCTCATTAATGCAGACGAATATCGACAGTCTATGCATTAGTTATTAAAAAAAAAAACATTTCAATTATATTAAAATCGGTTCTAGACGAAGCAGTACTGATTAAATATTTTATTAAATCTAGGCCATTGTTTTCACTTTAAATAAAGAATCCTTATGTAAAGATATCGGCGGTATTCTCCAATATTTCGCCATACAGCGGTAAGATGGCTATCGCGTAGTTACATTCATGTAAGAAGGTTTGAATTCTGGAAAGAACTATTGGCATATTTTTATCGATCATCGATTTCGATTAGCCGACAGATTAGCAAATATGACTCATGACGGGCAGGCTTAGCCGATATTTTTGTAAAAATTGAATGAGTCATGTTTATCTTTGCAAAGTGAAAGAAATGAATATTTCTGAAGGCAAGGATAAAATGATATCGTGAACAAACCAATTGTAATACTGGTTCTCAGATGCGAAACTAAATGCTTCTTGAATATTTACCGCTATTTTCAGTATTAGTGAATGAAATCGGAAGTCTTTCTGTGTCATTAGAATGCGTGAATATTTACCAGATTTGAAGAACAAAAATGTGCGTAATTGGGAACCACATGAATAAAAGAGTAAATGAGTTCTGGTGGCAGATTATAAAATTAATTATTAGTTGAGATACTCAGTTAATGGCTAAATTTGAAAGGAGTTCCGGTGGTTGTTTTCTGGTGTAAATATATTCAACGAATATCCGGATTCATTGAAACGGTTTGCGACAACATTATGCGATTCAGATAACCTTCAGGGAATTCCGAACAGAATTCTTTACTTAATCTACGGTGGCTAACCATGTCAATGGATATCAAATCTTGTCCTTATTGGGAAGCTCTCAGCTATTGCTTGCCCTGTTTTCAATGAGTTTTAAATTGTACCATCAGGGACAGAGAGAGAAAAGTAAGAGAGTGAGAGAGAGAAAAGTAAGAGAGTGAGAGAGAGAAAAGTAAGAGAGTGAGAGAGAGAAAAGTAAGAGAGTGAGAGAGAGAAAAGTAAGAGAGTGAGAGAGAGAAAAGTAAGAGAGTGAGAGAGAGAAAAGTACAAAGAAAAAAGAGAGAGAGAGAAGTACAAAGAAAAAAGAGAGAGAGAGAAGTAGAAAGAAAAAAGAGAGAGAGAGAAGTAGAAAGAAAAAAGAGGGAGAGAAAGGTGGAGAGAAAACAGAGGGAGAGAAAACAGAGGGGGAGAAAACAGAGGGGGAGAAAAGGGGGAGAAAAGAGAGTGAGAGAAAAGGAGGGAGAGAGAGGTGTGAGAGAGAAGAAGGTGAGAGAGAGAGAGGGGACTGACAGAAAATGGAGGAGAGAAACAGAGGAGAAGAAAAGCAAGGAGATATAAAGATCTAGAAAAGAGACAGCGAGTCCTTTGAAGCTCCTAGTAAATTTTATCTCTCCTAATCTCTCTTCTCTCAACCATTTAAAAATCAACCCTGGGTAGATTATGCGGTTCTCTGTTCAATCCCTCTTGTTTTCAATATCTCCCGTAAATGTGATTTCCTATTTCCTGATTAGCCTCCCTAGAAATTTCAACTGTTCCTTGCTGATAAGTCTAAGTGTCCTTTTTGCTTTCCATTTTCTATAAAGCTTTATTATTATTGATAGAAAAATACCGATAGACAAAGAAAAGAGTAATATGCATCCATATGACAATCCAGTTATTTAAGAACATGGCTCGAATTCTTAGGTTAATGTTTTGGTTTTGTAGCAACTTGCGGTTTTGGGAGAAACTATCTATCTAGAACTATATTCAATTTCCTTTTCTCCTATGATAAATTGGTTATAACTGCTCCATAAACGAGGGCATTTGAAGTGTTTAAAGTTTATGCACTTCGCATTCTGAATTTTTCTGATGGTTTATGGACAGTCGAGGAAACGGGTGACAAAATACATGAAAACCAATTTTTCAGCGACAAATAACATACGACCCTCGATGAGAAAAACGAATCGAGCAAAAGGTATTGCAGGAAACTGCCGTCACAGATAGAGACGTCAACAAAACAGAAGTGTTGCGGTGTTTTGCAGCGAGATTTTCGGCGGTAAAACGGTGGGTTCATAATGAAATCCAGATGGTTGTAAAGTGTTTAGTATTTATTATTTCCACATCCTGAATGTTTATAGTGGCTTCGGAGTATGAGCCTTCACTGCCTTCATTCCAATTCCAGATCATAGTTTCCGTTATAGAAACTTTATCTTAAGTCCTATTTATTGGCATAGATGATTTTTTTAATATACTTACGCAGTTCCGATCTTTGTACCAACGGGCCTTCTTCAGGTGTGCCGTCGTATTCCGAATGTCTAATAACCGAAACGTAGTATAGCAACCGAGATGAGAAGGCTAGTTGGATTTAAAGTGTATATAATGAGAATTCCTCATCGAAAAAATTCCGACATGAACAAATAATTTTATCTTTATTCGATTACTCGTGGCAGTTTGTTTACACTGTGTCAGCAGAAGCAGCTAAGCTATATCAATGCGCTCGGTTAAATATTGTCGGAGTTATTTTTGCTTTTCTTTTTCATTTGGGGGCGTTTTTTTTTCCTTGCTTTACTCTGCTTTCATTAATCACCATCAAGTCGAGAATTCTTCTGATTCTCCTGACTCGTTCCTCCCAACCGTCTCTGTCAGACATCGCTGTCGGCAGGTCCTCCAAATGGCATCCAGAGTCATCAGTTGGTCAGTGTAGGTGAAAGTGAGGTCTTTTGTCGCGCAATGGGTTCCATAGGAGAGTGTCACTTACAAGTCCCGACTTACTTCTCCAGGAGTGACCAGCTAGCCGAAGCCTTCTCTCTTTTAGCGAAACCGAGATAGGAGCAAGGTGTCCATACAGGCATTTCTTTGTTGGGTGTTTCTTCCAGCTGATGTCCAATGCAACTTGTAACATCCTTGTATATGTCCCGTCAAGTGATTCTTCTTGGTGTTTCGTCAGTGTCCATGTTGTTGAGCCCTAGAGCAAGACAGATTCTAGTGTCCTTAAAGAAGTCCATCTTGAGATTGTCAGAGATGGCGGACTTCCAGATGGTGCTCAGATCATCAAAGACATCCCGGGCCTTGCTTTTGCGAATTTTGATGTCTCTCTCCGCTGACTGGATGTTGCTGCCGGGGTAAACAAATTCCTGGACAAATTTGATATTGTTGCCGTTTTTAAACTTAATTTCTCCTTGTTTGAAGCTGATAAATCCTGTTTTGCCAGCATTAATGTAGACACCAATCTCGCTGGCCACTTCTTCGAGTAGATAAAGAAGCTATGTCTGTTATTGTTTTTGCTCGGCGACGTGAACTTCTTGCTTTTTTCAAGGGTGAACTCCAGATCTGTGTTTAGATCAGCAGATATTCACAGAGCGTAATCTAGGCACAGAATGAAAAGGAAAAGGGCAGACCTACCCCCCTGCATTGACTCCCACGACAACGTGGGCTTCTTATACAGCATCATGATGGCTGATACTGTCTCTTGCGGGATCCCATATGTTAACATGATATTTTCGAGTTTGCCACAATGGATGGAGTCGAAGGCTTTGGAGAAATCGACTGAAAACAAAATAAAAAACAAAAAACCCCCAAAAACAAAATAAAAAACAAAAACAAAACAAAAAAAAAACCCAAAACAAAATACAAAATAAAAACAAACAAAAACACGCTACTATCTTTCTAAAGAAGAATAGTACAGATAAAAGGACAATAGCTTTCTGCGAATTTGGTGATAACAGTGGTTGTGAGTTCCACCTTGGTTCGGGCAGTGTGCTCAGTGTAAACAGGCGAGCAATAAGGGAACAATACTGAATAAGAGATATCCCGAGCGGAACAAGGATTATCGTTGAACTTTTAAAAGGTAAACTTAAATATTAATGCAGTGATCAATTTTGAGTTTTACTGTAGTTTATTGCTGCCTATCGCATTTAATCCTCCCTATATATTATGATGAAGGCCTAATCAAGAGCCCTCTGCAGGAACTATCATAAATCCCGACCAATAGGGAGGTCTTTAAGCTAGTATATATAAGGCAATAACAGGGACGCTATAAAGACAGTGCTCAATGCAAAATATAAAAGATACATTTTATATTGGCTCTGTTTTGTATAAGTAAAACAACACTCATGTTACTGCTGTCCACGACTAAAAGTTCCATGTAGCCACTTAAAATTCCGCGCTCTTGTCTTGCAATCCTGTGACGAGATAAGAACATATTAGGAAGCCTTACTTTTGGGGACAACAGTATCATCATCATCATCATCTCGGTGTCTGTATGAAACTTTCAGTCGCGGAAATCAGTAATATACGAGTTATTTTGTGTGTCATATGTAAGTACTTGGGTTAGCAAAAACTACGGAGATTTCCTTGATAAATTACATCAAAAGGAGAGAAATGGAGACAAAGAGGCGGGGAAGAGGGGGAGAGAAACAGAGACAGAAAGGTGAGGGCAAGGAGAGAAACAGAGACAGAAAGGTGAGGGCAAGGAGAGAAACAGAGACGGAAAGAGTGAAGGAGAGAAACAGAGACAGAAAGAGTGAAGGAGAGAAACAGAGACAGAAAGAGTGAAGGAGAGAAACAGAGAGACGGACACAATAAAACCATAAACAATTATCCTTTTACGAACACGATATACACAGTAACATCACAATTTCTTCATCCCGTCACCAGCATTGTTTCAACTGAATACATAATTTCAACCAAATATTTTCTCTTAAATTTCATTAATCCAGTTTAATTATGCACATGACAAACTGCTTAAGCCATGCAAATCCAACGTGACGAAATTGCCAATAAAGCCTATCAGGACTTATTTTTTCCGCTCATTTTCCTTAATCAGACGTGACTAGTTTCATGTTTGTAGCTGACAAAGACAAATAAAGCGATCAAATAAATAAAATTTAAAAAGAAAATCACAATTCATAATTTTTTCTTTTTTTATTCTCCAAAATTTGGAAACGCAAGTAAAGCGCATTAATAATATAAGTTTAAAACCTAGAGGAATTGAACGAAACACCAACAGCAATTGTTCTTTCAAATCTAATCCCCAACCAACTCTTAATTTCAGCTGCCTTTTATCGAAAACCTCCTTTGTAACTCTAAGTCATGTTTATTTCTTTACTATTCATACCGCTCCCAAATCCGACATCCATTTACACAAGATTGTTATGTGTTTTACACTGTTTCTCTCGTCTTGAGAGTGTCAAATTCCCCAAGCCTCTTTGTTTAGAAATTTCAGTTGTCTTTTTCTGATTCTAAATAAAAGAATCCGAGTATTAAATGAGGGATCAGTTTTGCTTTATAAAAAAAGTCGTAAACACATCCCCCAGTTTTTACCTCATAGGTTCCATATATTTGTCTAAAAATATACATGTAGGTAGTGTTGACAAACTGGGTTACTTTTGAAAATCCAGCGCTACTAAATTTTGAATTTCAATTCTTCCAACTTTTCTGAATAACATTTTAAAGTAACCTAAGCCAAGTTCTGGACACGTGCCACCACCTATAAGATTAAACTCACTGGTAAATGTACCGAAAAACAGAGAATGGATATTTGTTATGGAATGTTAAGGGTATTACGGTAATTTAAAAACTATGGCGATTTGGTGTCCAATCGAGCCACTGGTTCAAATGAGTATTTTCTTTTTAGCTCTATATGAATTTAAAAGCCATCAAAGGGAGAAAATTCTAGGTCTTTTTAATATTGGTTAAGAGTTGTTTCCATGGGTTTTGAGAAAAAAATATCAGGGGAACGAACAAGGAGACACATTGACTTGTTAACGTTCCTGTTCCAGCTGTTGTGTCGATACACAACGACGACGATGACCACCACGAAGAAAACGAAAGACGGCGAAGGAGAAAAAAAAATAAATAAATAAAAAGAAGAGATCGACGACGACGAAGAAAAAGACGATGACGGAGAAGAAAAATAACCTCGACTTCAATAAGTAGTAACAGTAAAACTGGAGCTTTGTACGTGCAAATAATAACAAATTATGAAGTGACTTGACAACAAGCGGCGGCCGTCAAGATGGAAGCAAATGTGTTAAATAAATGATTTGATTTGGGGAAACAGATAGACAATTTTAGTGAAGTCAGTTCACTTTAAGATAAGCAGCGCGTTAACCTCAGATTCTGTTGCGTAATTGCAGAGACTGTCTGAAAGTTTAAGGTCTTTTAATGGTCCTCGATATGTAAATCAGTCGAGTTAAATTATCTTTGAGCTCCCAAATATCTTAACTCCGTGTCATACACAAGTGATGTTTACACACAAAAAGAAACCTTTGTTTCTCTGAAAAAGCACAAAAATACTTCCCACCAATCCTATTATGAACTCCACTTGCTTTGATTCGACTTTAATTGCACACGGGATAGAAGGAAGTGGAGTTAACATTAAGTGTGTACGGATTGTTTAAAATATTTTCACACTGTTAAGCGAATGAGTTATTAAGTGTTTTAAAAGGTTGTAATTACAATGCTAAGGAGAAACAGGACTGTAGTTAGACACAAGTTAAAGTTTGCGAATACGTGCGTATAAGTAAGGTAAAAACGAGAGAGAACGAGAGGCGAGAAAGGAAAAAAAGAAGAAAAGAATGAACAAGCATTGCAATGCGGGTGAGAATGTAATATGTAAGAATATTTGGTGATTAGTTCAGTGGAGGGTCATCTTATTAGAAGTTCATGAGCTCAAGTGTCCCCCCCCCACACACACGTACAGCGATGAGGGCTTTTGAGAAAGATTGTTGAGAGGAGGGCATGAGAATTGGGCCAGGCGAAGAGTTAGTGGTAACATTTTTCAAAATAATTATTTATATGACATTAGGTGGTGTCTTAAAAAAGGTAGGAAGATCAAATGTACAGGAGAGAGAGAAAGAGAGAGAGACTAAAGACAATGTAGGGAGAAAGAGAGACTAAAGACAATGTAGGGAGAAAGAGAGACTAAAGACAATGTAGGGAGAAAGAGAGACTAAAGACAATGTAGGGAGAAAGAGAGACTAAAGACAATGTAGGGAGAAAGAGAGACTAAAGACAATGTAGGGAGAAAGAGAGACTAAAGACAATGTAGGAGAAAGAGACTAAAGACAATGTAGGGAGAAAGAGAGACTAAAGACAATGTAGGGAGAAAGAGAGACTAAAAGACAATGTAGGGAAAAGAGAGACTAAAGACAATGTAGGGAGAAAGAGAGACTAAAGACAATGTAGGGGAGAAAAATTGAGACTAAAGACAATGTAGGGAGAAAGAGAGACTAAAGACAATGTAGGGAGAAAGAGAGACTAAAGACAATGTAGGGAGAAAGAGAGACTAAAGACAATGTAGGGAGAAAGAGAGACTAAAGACAATGTAGGGAGAAAGAGAGAGAGAATGTTATTAAACTGTAAGATGTTGAATTCTAGATGTGCAAAAATGCTCTAGTTTGAACTTATCAATGATATATAATCCATTTAGTGTGTCGTCTCGGAGAATTAAAAAAAAATTATCTTTTTGACTCAGTTCTGTTGTACAATCTTTTCCGATGATTATAGTTAAAGAAAACAAACTTTTTTCTAATTGCTATCAGACCCTCTGTCGTTCTTGGACGTGGTTCAGGAATTTCATTTGACTTTACTCCAGAATACTGCGAACAAAATGTGCCAGCGCCTCATCTTGAAGACGGCCCAATATCCTGAGTCTGGAATTCGCTAACTGCCACCCTACAGTGGGATAAGACCCCACCAACAAGAACCACCTACCAAACTAAATACTTATAGACTCGAATTCTCGAACCGAGGAGAATCTTGTAGACTCTAATAATAAATAAAAATTAACTGATTTCCACAGTCGTTCCACAATGAACAAAATCTCCATTATTTGGCCTCCTCGTTTCGCATACGCCTCAGATGCTGACACTGTTAACACAAGATATGCAAATGACACAATGCTGATAGCAGATACGGAAAGAGAACCACAAAATCTACAGCAGGTAACGAAGGAAAGTAAGAAGAAAGGATTAAACATCAACTGCAAGAAGACAGAATGCATGGTTGTTAAAAGGAGGAGTCCAAAATGCAAATTACAAATCTGGCGTACCAAAATCAACCAGCACAAAAATTTAAATATCTGGGAAGAGTATTAACGGTGGACGGAAAATGTGACACTGAAATCCGAAGACGAATTGGGATGGTCAAAGATACCTTCCAAAAGCTAACCAGAGTATTAAGAGACAGAAAAAAAACTTGGTTAGAAACAAAGAAAAGAGTGCTGAATTGTTACTTGATATCTGTCCTACTGTATAGTAGAGAATGCTGGAAAATTTCTTAAAAGGATGAAGAAGAGACTTGAAGCAGCAGAAATATAGTTCTACAGAAGGATGCTGAGCATACCATAGACCGAACATGTCAGCAATGACGAGATTTTAGAGACAATCGAAACAAAACGGAAACTTGTACTCAACATCGGGAAAGAGAGTTTAAATTTATGGAGTATATAATAAGGATGGAGGGTTTGAAAAATTTGTTACTCACAGGGACACATTGAGGGGGGGAGGGACAAAGGAAAACAACGCATGACATACTTGACGAGCTTGAGAAAATGGCTGACGGAACAGGTTTTAGAAATAAAGAAAATTTATTTAGAGCTGGAGCAGACAGGAAATAGTGGGTAAGCATGATCACCTACGTCCTGATGGGATAGGGTCCATGAAAAAGAATAATAATTTCCATATTAAATAATTCAACAAGTGTTGGCATGTAAAATGAACTAACCTTTCATCATTTTGAAGAACAGATGACGTCTCGAATATTCTCATCTCTAGCTGTGGAATGAAACCTTCCTGAGGTACAGTTACATTAAGTAATTTCAATTTATGGTCACAATGCTAAATAATAATAATAAAAAAAAAACACTGATACCTCGGTTGCAATCAGTTTTCCCCACTGCCGATTCACTTAGCCTTTTCTATCAATACAGTGTGTCACCACTCAAAAAAAAAAAAAAAAAAAAAAGACATCATTTTAAATGTGAATATCTGAGTAACTAAATATCTCAGGCAAGCGAAATGAAATAGGATTCATAGAAGATTTATTTATCAAAATTCGAATAAGATATTCAAACGGATGAGGATTTTATAACAGATTTTACAAAAGCTTCACAAATGTTCAATGTGTGCACCACCTGTGACACGACAGACATTAAGTCTATAGTCCAGCACCTGCCAAACACGCTGTAGTATGTCTTGCGTAGCATTCTCCAGCCTTAGTGATTCTCTGCTTCAGTTCCTTTAGACTTGTAAGAAAAGAATATAGACCTGCCCTTTCATATAGCCCAATAGAAAAAAAATCACTAGATGTCAAGTCAGATGAACGTGGTAGCCACTTCAACAGCACATTGTCTTTATAACTGGCACGCTCGATCCATCTTCCTCATTGAAATAAGTCTGCGCTGGGAAATGGTGAGGATATTGCGGAGTTGCCTCGTTAAATATTTGAGCTTAACAACTTTAACAAAATATTGCAATAACAATCAAAAATATGAATTCTGGTTGTTATTTAAGTAAGTAGGCGGGTACAAATGAAAATATTTAAAATTAACAGGTTCTTCCATGTCACTGAAGGCAAACGGCGTCTCTGATAAGTCTTTCCCTGTTTTTCTTGGCGATCAAAATGGAATAGTCAAGTATGCATGAAATATTTGCAAGGCGTAAAGTACGTGCTAGCTAATCAAGGAACATGCAGAAATCTCGTATGTTAAATATATGAATAAATACTAACTTAACCACACACCCTCATATCACAGATACTTGTAAAACCTGTACTTCAAAACTGTAATGTCCTAACATTTGCAGATGTTGTAACGTCATATTACACATTCACTTCCAATATTCGTTATATTTAGCATAGAATTAAAATAAACTAATAAACCCAATTTTAAATAAACACAAACACATGACATGAGGTACACACGTGGCGTCCACACAACCAATAAAAACAAATAGAATTAAAATAAAGTAAGCAGAACACCGCTTATTTCTGATGAAACCAAATGAATAGCATGTTGAATTTTTGAAAGTTTTTCTACTATATATTACAGTGTGTTGTCATTCTTTCATATAAAGCGTTTCCAAAGTTTGGAATCGTTTTCCACTTTTACGCTGAGAAGTGTTGTTTTTCACTGTAACTACATGCACTCCAATTACAGAATAGAGACAAAGAAAAATATAATTTATAAATATATAAATCCTCTATTAAGGACCGCATTATTCTTCGCCGCCTACTTTCCTCTGCTTCGGTTATTACAAGCAGGAAATAATGTGAGGAGAAAAGTCTGTATTTGATGGTAGATATGACGCACTTGAAAAGAAATAGCTTAGAAAGAAATATTAACAAGCAGAAATAACTTAAAAATGAATGGCTAAGAAAAATAAAAGATGGCTAAGAAAAAATGATAGCTTGATAAAAATAAAAACAACAAAAAAAACAATGGCACTGCTTTTTATATTTAGAATTTGAGGCCTCATGTTAGCTAATTTTAATCCCAGCGTTCACAACTGTAATCGATCATTTCAACCCAGTCACTTCTACCAAGTCTGATTCTGTAATATTTACGCGTATGACATTTTTATCGGTTGTGTAAAAGAATTTAATGTAACAAAATAACGGCGACATTCTGCTTTGTTACTGCTATCTCGTGGGCTATTTTCACTGTTGTGATTTCTTGCTTTGTGTTCTTGCTTTTTATATGCTGTAATGGTTTCTGATATAGCTAAAGTGTCATGTACTGATAGCTTGCTTCAAACATTACGTGCTGAAATCATGTTGAAATGAGAGTACATCTAATATCACCATGTACCTTCTCTACCAACGAATACGGTAACCTGACTTTTCTCTCAGCACGAACATCCAACTCTGGCGCAAGTGGCAAAAATCAACAATTAACAACTCACCTATATGCAATAGGAAATCAGAGTTAAAAAAAAAAGCAGACAAACTTGTACGCACCGAATAGCAACACTCTTTGTATGTACGTGAGAGCGGATATGATATGCCCTCTTATAGAAGCGACAACTTAAAACTGTTTTTGAATATTGGTGTAAACAAATCATATCGAGTTAAGTGCTTATTAATTCCTTTTGCCCCAGGTTTCCTCTCAAAGCTCCAAGAAACTTGAAATCACCTGAAGGCATCAAGCAACCAATTAGCACCATTCATTCGAGAGGATTAAGCAGTAACACTAATAAAGTTAGAATGACAGACTGGATACACAACGCTTTCCCTGTACTTAGGAAAAACATAGAAGTGCGTCCTAAATTCAACTGACAACGTAACCTAATAAGTGGAAGATTCAAACTAGAAAATGCGACCCTGCCGCGAAAGAGAACTTTTTTAAAACTCAAACAAGGTATTTCGATCATTAAGCACCTTAATAAGAACAATAAGCATGAAGAAGAAAATGAGAAAGTGAAGCCCATTTGGGATATGACCATCTTGATGACAAGTGCTTGGATAGCAAATCGCTCTGATACATATATACACAAATCATCAACACTGTAAGATGAAAAATATAATTTTCACTTAAAACAAAAGAAAAAGAAAAGGCAGTGTTCAAAAGGAGAGGAAGAAAGACAAAGTCAAAAGAGAAAATAGGGGAGGGAAGACAAAGTCGAAAAAAAAATAAATAAAAAAAAAAAAGATCGATAAAAAGAGAAAGCATTGAACAAAGAGTTTTCAAGCAGCCAAGTAGTCAGAGAGAAAGAGCAGTAAAAAAAAAAAAAAAACGAGAATCTCACGAAAAGACGCCCATGCTTCAAATTGGTGCGTCGTAAATGTAATCATTCGGGAATTTGATATCCAAGCCATGACATTTTCTGCACGGAGAAGAGTATTTTTTTTTAATCATTTTCTTTTTTTCTTTATTAATTTTAATATGATCAAATTCGTTCTTTACTTTTTGATGCGAAGAAAGGAACTGAGAAACAGCGACTGTTTCTCAGATCTAACTCTACCGACGCCATATAAAATTCACTTTGTGATTACTCACCGAGGAAAAAAATCGTTACTTTCAATCTTCATCATAACAGCTCTTAATAAGCTATTCTCCGTAGATATATCGACGCATACAGTTTTTTTTTTGTTCACCACAAATTCAGGTTTCTGGTTAGAGGCGACAGAATAAGATGATATTAGGGCATATCCTCACACGGACACTTAATTCACTTCAAGGTTAACTGGACAGAAGATAGAGGGTTCCCAGTCTAATCATTGAAATTCATCGATTTTCGGATAATGCGTAAAAGACAATAGTAAGTATATAGCTGTGTCGGAGCGAAGCTAAAAAAGATGTAGAGACAAAGAAACATTTTTATTCAACTGATTCCCTCTGCTATATATTCTGTCTTTACAAGAGCCAGATCAGACCAAAAATGGAGTATTGCTGGTATATCTGGGCGGGAGCTACCCAGTCCTCCCTTGTTTTTTTTGTTCAAAAATATCTACGTAACCCCTGAATTATATTAAAAACTCAATTCCTTCCTGGGTATGTACAGTCTTTGGTTAAGACTTTACAAGAACCAGATCAGACCAAAAATAGAGTATTTTTGTCATATCTGGGTTGGATCTTTTCGGTCCTCACTTGCCTGTCTTGATAGAGTTCAAAATCGTCTACGTGGCCT